AATATGCAAATGACCAGGGAGAGATTTTGGACCAGTACTATAAAAGCTGCAGAATCGTTCCGTCAGTTTCTGAGATCTATGCCTTTCTGACGCCAGTAGCTGAAGCCAGAATGCTGATTATGGATCGGAACTATGGATCACAAGCGAATTCTTCTGGGATAAAGTACAAAAAGCTTTTTCGAGGGCTCAGCCGTTTTCTGAGATGCGCCATGCCTTCTGCTTGCTCCAAAGCGGCAGTGTCGATGCAAGTGCTCTACACAACAGCTTGCGGGATTTGGCGGGCGATTTGACAATCAGAGTTTTTGTTCTTCGAAAAAAAACCTGGTACTAAGCAGTTGACCTTGGTAGCATGGAAGGCTAAGTTGGTCAGGGTGAATACGTTCGAGATTTGGCCATTTGGATCACGAGTAGAATGTTCTACGTATCACCTTTATATCCTGCTGTTTCGCTTCCGACACATAACCCGATTTAAAACGCAAACTCCACTTTGGGCTACCACCTCTGGTGAAGCTCCATAATAGAACACAACAAGAAGAATAATATTCATCGGTGCTGATCAATTTTTTGAAGTGCGCTTCGCTGGATTGCATTTTTTGATCGCAGATTTCAGAAATGTCATTTGTTTATTTATTTATTCATTTATTTACTCGTGCGTGCAACTGACGCGCTTAGAATAAACAATAGAAAACAATGGAGTTGTAGTCGGGAGGACGGTAGCCCTTATCTTCACGGGAACTATTAAAAATATAGGATAAAAAGACTCGGATTGATATATTTTCTAAAATTTCACAGATAGCAAGCTCCTTCAAAATTTCCACTATTTCGTTTGGTGAGGAAAACACAAAGAAAAGAGAAATCTTGTTGTGACGGCAGGGATTTTACCACTACCATAGTGCTGTTGTAAATTGGGTGGCCTTTGATCTTTGCGTGGAATTGGAGTAATTCATTAGCCTCAGATGCTAGTTTCTTTTTCGCTGATGTGCATGCAATTATCAGATCTACTGAAATTGAAACTCATCTCAAATAGCAGCCATTGTCGACCATGACCGACAAAGGGCAAATGGCTTTTAAAATGAACGTTACTTATGCAATTTAAAAAGCCCTCGTTTCAAAGTGAGTAGATTTTCAGGCGGCATTGACACCCTATGCTCATTTTTAACCCTTTTGAATTGTATATATAAGATCGGACCATTGCTATGGGAGTTGGCCGAAAAAATATGGATCTATGGTCAAATCAGAGATTGGAAAAGTAGTCTCAGTGGCATAATGGGGCGTGGTGTTAGAAAAGTATAGTGGAGTTTCTCGTATAAAGTTACTCCACAAACTGGTCCCAGAATACGCATGTACCTTATTGCAGAGGATGACTCGGTTCTTCCTCTCTTTTCAACTTGCTATTTGTATCCATAAAGTAATGCACCCGAGGACAAGTTGATTATAAAGATAAGGTGCATACCTTAGAAAATAGGATTTTGCTTCGGAAAGTGACAGAAATAGAAACTGGGTCCGGTTCAATGACGAACAAAGAAAAAAACTGGCCGGAATAAATTAAATTAAAAAGCCTATGAACAGGGTTGAGTGCTATGATAAAGATGAAGCGAGACCCACTCCTCTACGATAGAGCATGGCGGACGGCAAGCGAAAATGCTAACTTGTTCATGACGGTACGGTACGGTACAGGGCTGAGTCTTGAGTGATGAGAATCTAACACATTCTGTTGTGAAACTCTATTCGAGTGAGATAGCGCTGATTTCGACCACTCCGTGCGTTCACTAAGAGCGTCGAATAGTAGATACTCGCTCATTGAAACTGAAAGCACACTGTTTCTTGTGGTAGAAAATGGTGCTGGTTCCAAACAAACGTTCCTCTTCTGTCTATAAATGGGTGCCGGATTAGTAGAAGTGGCTACAAGTAGTATTTCTTCTTTGATTGCAGGCCATACGCATAACCCAAAGCCTAGTTCCCAATAAAAGTCGAATATCTGGCAAATCGGTAACCACTTGATCAATGCCAACCCGTTCACCTTTTCTCATGATTGTTCTGATTATTTCACAACAAACAAAACAAGCCAAAATGTTCTGATTATGATATTCTTGTACTTACTGTAAACAATAGCCGTAAAATTCAATAAACAAACAAACTAGTAAGTTTGTGAACAGCTTTGAACTTGAGGTAAGGCTGCACTGGACCGCTAGTTGACCGTGTGTTGGAAGCAGAAGAAAACGAGGAAATGTTCTTTTTTGTACGATTTTTCAATAGTAAATTGATCGCACATAAAGATTTGCCGTCTCTAAAGACTCTGCAGCAGTATAAGTTTCAGCTCTCCTCAAAATAGCTGAAATAGTATTTATCTTGGTTACATAGCGAATCTTTTTGAAAAGTTGTGGATCTATGCAATTTTCTTTTGTGGTCATAGTTCCTTTTCCAGCTCCGTAGATAGCTATGCACTAGAGCAGACGTTGGAGTTCATCAAGTCCGTCATGTCCAGCGGCGACGGGGCCGTTTGTGCGGTACGTTTTGAAGTACTTGCAAAGTATTACACAATTTAGTTATTACCAAACACGATGGTCCCAAAAGACCTCTGTCTCCCCTAAACTTGGAACACTGATAGTGTTTTAGGACGGCTCTTCAGCATCATACCACCGTCAACCAGTTGCTGCTGTTGTCGGTGCGGCTGGTAGTCAAGTCTCCGTCATGGTGGCCAGTATGCTGCAGCTTTTCAAGGTCTGTTTCAGAGCAACCCTTCATTGTTGATGCTACTTTCTACGCTTACGTTTTCTTTAGTGACATTCTACCATTCTAAGCATTTCTAAGCATTCTATTTTTTCTTTTTGACTTTGTTATTCATTATCGAAGATCTATCTTATGAAGACATCAAGCTTAGTTTCTGTCTCAGTAACTACCGTAATCAACGGCTGCCAACTGTCCTTCTCTTGGGCCGGAGATTTTTAGGCCTATTGAATATTGAAGTTCACATTATAAGGGATCCAGGGCAAAAACTCTGTTACGAGAGCAAGTGGACATCGAGTAACCCAATTTCACATGAGGACAAAGAATTAGAAGCAGATGAGGACAGTACTGACTCGGTCGTGTCATAGGTACGATTGGCTAGGTCTTCCTCAAGCTTGAAAATTAAAGGATCAAATACTCGGGGAATTAATCGCATCAGCGTGAGCCAGGATTCCATCATGATCCAGAATCGCATGGGAATCAAATAAGTCCCTAAACACACCCACCCACCCACCTACAAAACGTCTCAACAGGCTATCACTTTTCCCTCCTACACAATTCCGGTAACAGTTGACCGGTCAAAAAACGGTTACAAGGTTGTATGACATGATGAAATTTGACCCGTAGAAGAGTCACGTTACTGCTCTCGCCCTGTTACCTTCTCTCCTAAAAAATCGACAAACGAAAGAAGATTGATTATTATTTAGCATGGAAAAATACGGTCCACTCACTTTTAAGAGGTATTCATCTACTGTCTGAATCTCCAACAGATATGATATTTTCAAAGTTGTCCCCCTCTGCAGAATGAAGTTTATCAACGCTATCGCATGATACGGGGGCATTTTTTAGGAGTGATGGGGCAGCAATTCTGGGAAAAAGAACTATGCATCCTAGAGTCTTCTCCTCTCCGCCTGAGGCTCAGTTCGATTTTAATAAAAGGGAGATGGCTCGCTCGGCTTTAAGGCCGTGCCACCACAATGCCTCTGTATTTTCCGGTAGCGCCGATTTATCTATTCATTCCCATTGGATGAGCTATACTGCTGTCACATGTAACAAAACAGTCGATACTGCAGTTCAATATTTCACAATTTTCACTGCCTCACGCAATAATCCTAATGATCTCAAAATTGTCTCGAGGCAGGGCGGGTCAAAGCCAATCCACCTCGTGCTTGGCTTTCTCAAAAATCTCTTTCTCTTTGTTGAGGGACCTTAATACACCACGTCATCACTCGTAAAGAGGTCATCTGAGTCTATTCCTTTCGCTTCCACAGACACTACTCAAGTTGTTCAAAAAACAATCATCTTCAAACGTCAAAAATGTGGTTTTCCCCAACTCCTACTCCGCTGGCGCTACCCCGTCCCGTTTTGGGCACGGTTTTATGTTTGGCTGTTAATCGGAATGAGGAGATAACCTATTGCCCTTCTCAACTACACTTATCTGACCTCTCAAGAACTCTCTCTGCAAAGAAAATTCTCATCTGCTGAGAAAGTTTCCTTTCCATGTGTAAGAGAAAAACGAACTCATTTTGCCAAATGCGTCCCTATCTTGGAATCGATGAATACCCTGCCTTTGTGTAATCCTACTGACCATGGATGCTAGTAGTTTGGGCTGGGTAAAATACCTAGAAACACAAGGAAAGCGAGAGGTGCGGGTTCTAGTCCCGCCTGGGGCGAAAGTTTTGTTCACAACCCAGCATTCTTGTGAAACAATCAGAAGTGTTGAGAGTGCATCCATACTACTACATTTTCGCTTACGTAAGTAAAGGGACCGATCGCCGCCAGCAAACCTGAAGTAACAAACCTTTCTGCGGTCATTCTTCGAATGGTCGCGCACTAGCTATTAAGCAGCCGCGGAGCTCAGCTCGCTACTTTTTCGCTGCTGATTCACAGTGAACGCTTGACTACACTTGAATATGAGCGCTGGGTTGATCTTTGCTGCCACCAGTACTTGAGGTACCTCGCATGAAGAACTATTGTCAGAATCGCTATAATACAGATGAAATGCACCGCTTAGGTAACAGTTTGCCATAGATGAATATAATGTGGTAAGCTCAACTCTTCTAAGGCTTATTATGTATAGAAGAATATTCGCATAATAGCGCTTCGCTAAAGCAGTACTAAAGTAATAACAGTAGAGTAACCTGAAGCTGTGGTAGGTGATGGTAGCACACAGTAGACAGCTTAAAAGTGACCGAAACTGGAGGAACGACCGATTTCAACGGTCATATACTTTTGTCTTCAATCTCGTTCCGATCTGACCGATCCTGTGCTCACCCTGCCGCAACTTGATTACTCGGAAGGCGAAATCGTTATTCGATTCCTGACCAAACTCAGGTTTTAATGCTCAGTCTCCGGTTTTTCGACTACCGATAAACGATAAAAGGAAACAGCCTACGAACTGAACCCTCAGGTCTAGGTGACGTAGAAAGCCGTGGGATGATGGCTTGACTAACTACCTCAAGTGCTTAACAAGAATGATCTTCAGGATATGAACCGCTTTTATAAGACAGTCTTTTGCTTTTTATGGGGACACGTGCATGGGGCTTGAATCAGGCTTATTCTCTGAGCCGTTCTGATAGTCCGCAA